TTATGCCAGAGTTTTCTTGGTTGCTTTTAGTTTGAGACAGGTAGTAATAGTAGTGATAAAATGATTAATCTGGTTTTAATTTACAATAAATCATCTTATAAACAGGAATTGATGGTATATTGAGGTGGTTACATGAGGGCAAAATCAATTAAATCAAATTATTTGAACTAACATGTATATTTTTGGCAAATATTTTAATTCTTCCACTTCTTAATTAGTCTAGAACTCAAAAAATGAAAACACCATAGACAAGTGACATTTTATATAGTGAAATGTTTAAAATACAGTTTTTTCTGATGTTACTCAATATGAATAGTACTTAGTAATTTTTTAAACAATTTTACTAACTTTTTTACAGGTATGGGAATAGGAAAAGAGGCTAAGTCAAAGACCTTCTGTACTTTATTAAATCCATCTTGTCTCTCTTTTCATATATCCTTACCTGAAAAAAGTCACCCAAGAATTTCAACCTGTTCAGTATGATATTTGTAAGAGTTTTCAGAGTACTTATTTCACAAAGGCATTATCCAAAGTAACTAGTTTTTATAACCCTTCCCACCTTTGATGCCCCAAATTTGCTAAGCGTGAAAGGAAATCACAAACCCTGTAAAGAAGAAGAAGAAGAAGAAGAAGAAGAAGAAGAAGAAGAAGAAGAAGAAGAAGAAGAAGAAAAGAAGGAGAAGAAAAAGAAGGAGAAGAAAAAGAAGAAGAAGAACAAGAAGAAGAAATATTCCTAGTATGGTCCTCTGGTATCACTTAACTAAAACTCCTCTGCCTATGACCTTGAGAAAGCTAGAGGCGAAATAGGAGGAGAATATTGAAGGGCATCCCCTCCACCACTGCCCAGAACGGGCAGCAAATATTGATCCTAACAGGTAAGTGTTTTTATAATTATGGCAGATGGTGATTGAAGCAAAGGCACTTTGGGGTGGGGGGGCACGCAAAAGCAATAATTTTGAATGTTTGACATTTGTTTTGAGACTACCTTACTACCCTATACCCTTTACCATCTGTCTGTTATCCCTCCCAACACCCACCTCTGTCTTCCCACAGGGCTCCATTGTCTGCAGTTCCTGTTTCTCAGGGGCGGAGCTGTGGGAGGCAGCCATGGGTGCCATAATAGGCACCTGCGGCCAGCACAATGGGCTGTGGGTGCTTGTGGGAGAGACAGATTGATGTATTGTGCATGGGGGAGGAGGGCTGTCACTTGAATCCATGTGAACCCAGGCTTTAGGGGCAAGGGAGATTGACAGCTTTTGTAGGTTGCATTTCTTTTTCAAAGCTTGGCTTTAATAGACAGTAAGTTTGGGGCCCCAGGCTTTCACTCCCATAATTCTAACAGGGCAATCATGAGCATTCAGCATTTCTTTTTACCCCCCTTGTTACGCATTAAATGATTTCAGTAAAGGAATGTGCAGCATTAATTAGAATTTGTTAGCAGATACCAAGGGGAAAAGTTTCTTCACAACAACTATAGGAGGTGTCATTTGTACAAAGACTTTTTTGTTTTCTTTCCCCATTACATTATCACTGCAATATGTAAGGTAGTGATTCTTTTCATTTAAATTAAGTGGAAAGCTACTAAATCTTGTTTTATTCTCCAAAAAGAATAAGGTCCTTAACACTTATCTTTTAACTTCTTTCATTTCCTAAGGTTGGTGTTTACTTTTGCTTTCAGTCTGACCCATTTACTGGTCTATGTGGTTGTGTATCCAGTTTTGTGTACCATTTAGCTCTTACAATTACAGGCAGCCCAATACTGATATATAAGGATTGTTTCCAGGTGAAAATAGCTACCAATAATATTGGAAATCATTGAGGCACTGAAGTCCTTCTTGGTAACGTGCGTTGGAAGTTGCTAAAAATTAGAGTGGTCTAACTTTGCGTCCTAACTTATTTTCTGCAACTAATTTTTTTTTTTTTTTTTAGTTGATAGCTAACCTTAGCCATGACATTAAATTTGTGGAAGAATGGGGCAGTGGCTGAGGAATGTTTTTCTCATAAAGAAAATTCATTCCTAAGCCATGTCAGTTTTTCTGAACACCCAAAGTCCCCCCCACACACACACACACAGATTACATCATTGTCTTATAGTTATAGTAAAATTGATCATTTTGTTTTGTATCTATTTTCTCTATTTTTATTCCTGACATTTGGGGCTGATACAGAAATCAAAATTAATCTCAGATAAGATCACGAATCAACACATTCCTTGCCATCTAGGGAACTGATAAGGTGTTATTAAAAATCGTGGTGTGATTTTTCTTACATCTCTCCCCTATAAAATCATTTTCTCAATGGAAAGAGTTGGAGGCTAATTGAATTAGAATTTCCCATTTAATTGGTTTTTTTTAAACGTGTTAAGAGCAACAGTGAAAAATATTGATTAAGTCTACTATTATTTCTCAGAAAGAACATATTCCCACACAGTTGTCTGGCTCTGTCTATAATAATAATTTGGTGCAATAGTTTTAAAAGTAGTGGGGTGATAATAATTAGGGTGTGTGACAGAAATTTCAATGCTGGATTCAACATTTCACCGTGCAGGGCATGAAAATTGCCGACCGGGGCTAGTCAGCTCTAAGTACTAATTAACTAATTAATCAGGTGCTGAAACCAACTGAATGGAGGATACCAGCCAGACAACTCAAGCTCAAGCAGAGGGTTGTGCTCTTTAAAAGACAGTGCAGTCTTTCTTCTTGGTTTTTAACCCAATCCAAAATGAGGAGAAAAGGTAGGATATGGTGTCGTACTGTCAGTCATTTTCGAGCCAAGCTTTCTACTTAAAGAAAATCTTTAAAAAAAAAAAAAAGTGCCTCTGATAATAGCTAGGGCATCCTGTGTAGGGCAACCCTCAGAGCTCTGGCAAACCAACAAACTCCTTGGCCATCAAGTATTTCGGTCCTGGGGAGGGAGGAAAAGGGCTCTGTCTTCTTGGAATTTTCTTCTACTGTATTTTTTTGACATAGGAGAACAAGAAACCTATCTCTCCTTTTGGGTTGATCTTGGGTCTTTTGCCTCATCCTTGGTTTATGTAAATGAGAAGAGTCCAATTACACATATGGAAAAAGGGTTTAATGAATCGTGAAAAAGCCTGGTTTGCAGAGAAAGGGCACAATCCCCTCTTCTTCTCTTTTAAATTTAACTTAGAAACATGTATTTCTTTTAAGGAAGATGAGAAAGATTAATGATGAGATCATCTTCATGTATGTACTGATTTTTGTACTTGGAAATTATTAAACATAGTTTGCCAGAAGATTCAGCTTTTAAAAAATCTTTGTCCGTAAGGTTTCCTGGATACTTAGCTAATATTCTCCAACAACAACAAAAAAAACTGCACAATTCTACCTTTTCTACTAAGTTTAAAAAATGATTACATGTTCCTCTCATTTCTTTACTGTGATTCTTAGCTCAGTGATCATTTTTGTTCTTTTACCACAGTTTACTATGGAATTGTCTGCACTGAAAAAGACTGCATTATTACAAGGGATGTGTTACTGAACCCCAGGAAAAGACGTTCGTTTCCCATACCCTTTCAGCTTCAATTTGGCATTACCACGATGTTTCGCTTAGCTACAACATTTAAGATGTTGGATGTTAGGTAAGATTTTTTTCTTTCTTTCCTAAAAGGGACTGCGTTTTACACTGGAGCAGAAAAGCCCGTGTTTAGGCTTTCTTTTCTCCCCTTTCCTTTCCCCTTCCTTCTTTATAGTGGAATTCTCAGTAGTTGAGAATAAAGCATGCAGAACTCACCCTCCACCTCATTCTTTTGGTAAATGACAAAGACCTTGGCGAGGATCCTGGGGGGAAAAGATCAACACTACTTAAGACCGTTACTCTAGAATTTGATAAAGCATACAACCTGCTCTGAAGAAGTGATTTGCAAGGCGAGCAGGAAAGTTCTCGATCACGCCTGGAAGTGCTTTCCAGAGATCTAGTCAAAAGACCTCAATGGGCACTTGGGGGAGACTGAGGTCCAAGGAGCTGGGGTGAGGCAGGGGGTGGTCGGCAGGCGCTTTCCCTGATGTGATCGCCCCCCCCCACACACACACACACGAAATGCTGGTGAGGTGCACGGAAAACACTTCTCTGGGGCACTTATGGTGTGGAGGACATTGCTGGTTCCAGGTTGCCTGCCTATTCACAGGGGCCCCGATATTTCCACTCTCCCCGTCTCCCCGCCTCCCCAGATCAGCGCCCTGGATGTGATCGACACCATGAAGTTGCCCCATAATCCTCTCTGGCAACATAAGATGTAAAATTTGATCAGCTCATTGGATAAAGCCGACAAGTCCCCAAATGTGTGAAAAGGGGGCCAAGCGGTAGCCCAGCGCCGCGCTGA